CTAGTTTTTTCTACTTCAACCACCTATTTTGACTAGCCTACACAGCAATATTTTATTTCTAAAGGCTTCTTTTTGAAGATTCGGACATTTCGTGGGCTCTTTAGAAGCGTACAATTTCATTTTTAATTCATTATTTAGGTTTTCGGTTTCGTTCAGTCAAAAAGGTGTTCACCTGGATCAAATTCCAACACAAATGATTCTTATTGCATTTTATTGTAAACAGTGTCCATTTTAACATATTCAAAATCCCCATTAATCCCGGCCCAGGGAATCAGTAAAAATTTAAGACGGCGGCTGAATGTTGTGTTTTTTATTTATTAATTTGTAACTTTCGTATTTCAACGAAATTTGGCAAAATTGTTTAAAATACAAAGAAAACCACTGACATCATTTTTTTCAAAATATCGGTCATTTAAATATTTCATTGGTAGGTATTGAAATATGAAAGTGGCCACCATTTTGAAAATAATGAAGTAAAGTCTATGGTTATTTTTTATACTTTTATTTTTGTACTTTGAATATAAAATAAATAAAAAGTAGTATATTGAATCACTAAAATTGCCTATTTACCTATACATTAGAGAAAACTTTATTGCACATTAGACTTACAAGAACAAAGAAACCATTGTTTCAAACTGTGGACCATGTTCCATTAAACAAACATTAACATTTGGCTGTGGGCTGTTTTTAAAATTCATCACAGTTCTTGCCGCAAGGTCGTACGGTCAATAAGGAATATTATCTTGAAGTTATGCGCCGTTCGCACGTGAGTCAATGGTGGAAAATCCAGACACGGATTTTGCAACATGATATCGCACCAGCACACAGTTCATTGCTTATTCTTGATATTTGGTCAAAAACAACACCGTTACCATGCTTCAAACGCGGCATTCACCAAACCGATGAAAGGACCTCGTTTTGCCACGATTTACGAGATAAAGACCGCATCGCAGGAGGAGCTAAACGTCATATCAGAAGTGCTTGGGGTTGGAGGATTGGAAAAAGCGTTGGGACAAAGTGTATAATATCAAAGGGGGATTACTATGAAGGGAACAAAATTAAAATTCACCTTTTCAATTGATCGAACCGTATGAAACAGGTATAGTCTAATAGGTACTACTGTAACAAGCTGTATCACATCTCCTTCTACTTTCCATTAAAGTAAATTTCAGGTGGACATCTGCGTCCGATTCCTGTATTCGCCTTACAAAAAATTACTTTCTTATTTTCTTCCTTTTTTTAAATGAGGGTGAAGCGAATGTGAATCGGTAAGTACCTAGGTATTATAAATATAAACTGCAGCCTGCAAAGATACAGTAAAAGAACTTTTATTGGTAAGGCAACTCAAATCCATCTCTATGACCCAGAGCGTGAAGTTATCTTAGCAACTGATGCAAATCTTGATGGTGTAGGGGCCGTACGCACATATTTCGGATGGTGAAAGACCAATATAAGGTTTTTGGATCTCGTGCATTAACTAAGGCGGAACAGAATTATTCTCAGATCGACAGGGAAGCTCTCGCCCTTAAGCGGTAGACATTTTTCGCTTGTCGCAGATAAAACAACTATTTTATACTATGGTCCTTCTAGTATAAAAACAGTCACGTCAATCATCGCAGGTAGGCCCACTGCAAAACTAGTCGCCTGCGAGGTGTACTAAAATTATGCGATTATATTTTCATTTCTATCTAGCCCATGCGAAGAAAAAGACATAAGTTATGCAGTGCGCGGTACATGCGGTTGTTTTTATACTAGACGACGTCCACGTATAGCCGTTGTCGTATTCGTTCGTCTAATGTAGGTGTAGCTGCTAGGCGGGCGGTCTGGGTTCGATTACCGGTCTATGTAGAATTTCTACATTTTGCTAGACTAATGCTGATCGTTGATGTAGAATAATCACACTGGTATTTTTATACGTGTTAAACATATTTATTTAGGTATACCAATGTGGTTCCAGGTTCCAGTCCCAGTCCCAGTCCCACTTACTCAAACGTACTCTATATAGCTTTTAGCAGAGTTACCTTCTTTGGTTTTCATTTTTGTTTATTCATAAAACAACAAGGGTATCATAAACATTGAAATAAATACTCGTAACCCAGTGGCGTACGTAGAAATTTATTCTGGGGGGGATTAAACAAGTTCGTGAGGGGGGGGGGGGGGAAAAAAAAATTGGGTTGCACAGGCGAAAAAGATTAGATTAGAATGGTATTTTATTTCTTACTGCTGACAGGCCCCTTTATTGCTTTTGCTTTAATTAGTCAACGAAAACTTTGAATAATAGGTAGGTATATTTATGGGCAAAAAACCAATTTCGACAGAAAATTCAAAGGGCTGTAACTTTTGATCTAGTAGTCCGATCTTGGAACTGTTTGGAATTATGGATTCTACAGGCCACATTCTATAAGAAAATATTTTTTCCGGTCGATCTGAGGCAATTTTTCTTCTGGGCAAAAAAAAAGGCAGTTATTACCTTCCTTTTTTACCAAAAATCGACTGCACCAAAATTTCTCGGGAAAAAACTTTTTCTTATTGATTTAGGTGCGTAGAATCCAAAACGATTCGTACTTTTTCGAATAGACGTCTCCATCGAAAGTTATGGGCAAAAAAATTCCTGTTTTTAACATTTAAAATTCTTATTTTCGTCATTTCGTGAAAGGCAGGACGCAGGTACCTCACCTCAGTAGCAGTACTAAGTACCTGATACCTATTTGTTGTTTTGGGCATCAATGTAGCGAATTGCCGATCGATGCCGAATAGCGACTGCCAACACTGATCAGTCACTGAATAGTGAATACTGAATACTACAGAATATTTAGATTTAGTGACTTTAGACTTTAACCAAAACCAAAATTGCTCTCTATATATACCTATACAGGGTGTTTTTTTGGGAGCTTTAGTTAAAAGTTTCTGGGAAAGTAAAATAGGTAGGATTTTGAAAATTTGTACTTAGGAGTTACTCTGAATGGCCGAATCGATGTAAAATATTTTCAAAATGGCCGCACTTCCGGAAACACCGGAAGTAGATAGTAACTTCGTTATTTTAAATGGCAACCCCTATTTTTGCATTTTTGGATTCTACGTGAAATTTCAGTTCTTTTGATACCCATATGTCATATCTGCCATTTATGGTTTTTAAGTTATTTTGACTTTAAGAAAAAAAAATGGCGGAGGCAGATGGTACCTTGATAATTGATTACTTGAAAAAGGTTATAGTCATGGCAACCCATTTTTATCAGTGCATAGAGAATGAATAGGGCTCTCTTTTACTGTACTTAAAACAAAGTTAAGTTGCGTACAACCGCACCTATGGAGATCCAAATTTAAGAAACTTCAAAGTCTATAAACTCAGTTTTTTTAAATGGAAAGACCATGTACTTAATATTGCATGAGATAGAGAATCGAAATTGGCATATTTTGATATTACATGTTCCTATAGCTATCTTTAACAGTTTCTGATTTATTTCCATTTCATTGAATTGATCTCGGAATTGATGCCATTTTTTTCGCATTTTCTTTTTAGTAGTTGGCCATGATTTTATAACAATCGAATTTTAAACAAATCAAGGAATGGATTCTTTAATACCATTGAATCTAGTTCTAGTCTAAATAATTCATTAATAAATAACTCATTTATTAAGGATATAGGACGGAAAATTTTTGAAAAATCTAAACAGTCGTTCAACTGAATTTCTTAAACAACGTATAAGTCTGGAAATTAAGAGAGGTAATGCGATATCTGTTCTAGCAACAATTCCATACCCAAAATGTTTCAACGAAGTTTTTTATATTTTGCATTGAATTTATTTTGTTAATCTTGCATTTGCAATTCAATTCATTTTCTTAAATATTCTCTTGTAGAGCTTTGTATCACTTGTGCCTCAACGGTTTGTAGTGCATTAGGGGTACAAAATTTCCAAAATTCATACAATCCAGTTTTCGAATATGAATGTACGGAAAGCACGCGCCGCGATTCTGCCCATTTCACCATAAATAACAATTAAATTCCAAAATAGGTGAAACCACTGCGAGTCATTTTTCGATTTTTGAAAAACTTATGGTAACCTATAACAGTGGGTGATGGATTAGTGTCACTAGATTTGTTTAAAATTCAATTGTTATAGAATCATGGCCGACTACTAAAAAGAAAATCCTAAAAAAATAGTGTCCATTCAATAAAATGGGAATAAGTCAGAAACTGTTAAAGATAGCTATAGGAACATGTATTGTCAAAATATGCCCATTTCGATTCTCTATCTCATGGAATAGTAAGAACGTGGTCATTCCATTAAAAAAAACTGAGTTTTTAGTCTTTGAAGTTTCATAAATTTGGATATCCATAGGGGCGGTCGTACGCAACTTAACTTTTTTTTAAGTGCAGTAAAAGAAAGCCCTATTCATTCTCTATGCACTGATAAAAATAGGTTGCCATGACTACAACCGTTTGCAAGTAATCAATTATCAAGGTACCATCTGCATCCGCCATTTTTTTCTTAAAGTCAAAATAACTTAAAAACCATAAATGGTAGATATCGACATATGGGTATCAAAAGAAGTGAAATTTCACGTAGAATCCAAAAATGCAATAAAAAATAGGGGTTGCCATTTAAAATAACGAAGTTACTATCTACTTCCGGTGTTTCCGGATGTGCGGTCATTTTGAAAATATTTTACATCGATTCGGCCTTCAGAGTAACTCCTAAGTACAAATTTTCAAAAACCTACCTATTTTACTTTCCCAGAAACTTTTAACTAAATCTCCCAAAAAAACACCCTGTATATTATTGCCTTTATTTTAAAGTGGGCGGAGCGGGATAGCGGAGTATTACCTAAATACCTAATAGCTATGATGATAACTCAATTCTTCTGGGGGGATATATCCCCTTCATCCCCCCCCCCGTTAATACGCCAGTGTCGTAACCTCATAAATGTACAATTGCAATTTTTTCGCCTGTTGCATATGCCACACACATTACACGGCTACTCTTCAGATTGCCGGAGCTATTACAATTTCCTAACCACACATTCCTTCTACTGTATACCAAATCATGCTTGAATTTGATTAATAAAACATTAAGTAATTTGGTCATGGTGTGAATTGAATCGTTTTGTATTTTATCTTCATTTTATTGCCCAAAAATTGTGGTGCACCTCCCAACACTTCTTCCGAAGTAAGTACTTTTAGAACACTTCCGGCTTTGTTAGCTTAAGATACCTTTTAAGCATTTTAATTGAATCCTAAGCGTAACTTAAAAAAGATGGGTAAACTAGTCTTACTCGACACTTTGTCAAAACACGTGGGTCCTGTGTGGAACGTCGCCTGGCATCCCAAGGGTGACGCGCTCGCCACCTGCGGTGAAGACAAAACAGTTAGAATTTGGGCGAAACAGGGAAACAAATGGATTAATAAAGTCGTATTGAGCGACGCTCATAAGCGTACTATACGTTCAGTTGCATGGTCGCCGTGCGGTAATTACTTGGCATCGGCCAGTTTCGACGCTACTGTCGCCATTTGGGATAGAAAGACGGGCGAATTCGAGTGTAATACTACGTTGGAGGGTCACGAGAACGAAGTGAAAAGTGTTGCATGGTCCAGGTCGGGTCATTTGCTAGCCACCTGCAGTCGTGATAAGTCTGTATGGGTTTGGGAAGTGGCGGACGAGGACGAATATGAATGTGCCGCCGTCTTGAATGCGCACACACAAGATGTCAAGAAGGTAAGTCCTTTGTAGGTATGGAAAAAGTTCAAACAAGTTTCGCTGTATTCTTTTCGTAGGTTGTATGGCATCCAGAAATCGACTTGTTAGCTTCGGCTTCTTATGACAACACAATTAAGCTTTTTAGGGAAGACCTTTCTGATAACGATTGGATTTGTTTGGAAACTTTAGAATCTCATGATTCGACAGTGTGGAGCTTAGCATTTGATAAGACCGGTAGAAGATTGGCCTCGTGCAGCGACGATACCACTGTAAAGATATGGAAGGAGTATCCACCGAACAACCCGGAGGGGATACCGACAACAGATAATGAATCTACATGGAAATGTGTGTGTACACTTAGCGGTTATCACACGAGAACTGTTTACGACATCAGTTGGTGTCATTTAAGTGGTTTAATCGCAACAGCATGCGGTGATGATATTATAAGAATATTCAAAGAAGAAGAAACTTCGGACTCCAATGCTCCAACTTTTAATTGTGTAAGTTCAACTGAACGTTCACATACTCAGGATGTGAATTCGGTCGCATGGAATCCCGTTACTCCTGGGTTCTTGGCTTCTTGTAGTGACGATGGAAGTGTCAAGTTGTGGAATTATACAGATTAAGTTTTAATTATGTTAGGTTGATTTTATATCTTGAAACGGTGTGTTACATTTTTTAATATACATATATCGTTTACGAATTATTTATTATTACCACAAACTACTCATTTGTAAGTTCTGCTGTAGCAAAAGGAACACCTTTCGAAACATTCTGTATACTAAATTTTGTTTAGTAACAGATTTTATATAATAGAATACAGAAGACATATTTCTAAAATTGTATAAATTCAGCCAATAGATTGTATAATATGCGTAGAAATGTGGGGCTGGTTCTGGACCACTTAGGTCATTCGCCACCTGGCTGGCACCATTTCAACTAACAACATTTGCGAAATTAGATGACTCACTAGCAGGCGGGGGATACTTTTTGACCTGAAATGAGTATAAGTTTTGTTTGAAAAGTGATTTTAAAAAACTGTTCGATGATTTTGTTCCCTAACACATCAATTTTCTTCATTTTCGTTGTCTGGCCAAGAATTGCCGTATAATCTTTTTTTGGAATTTTCAAAAACAAATTTCAGATAGGTATGTGATTTTGAAAAAGGCCCAGATACCAAACTTCGTCGAAATCCGAATTTTTTTCGCGCCCTCATTTAGGAGTGGGCCCTTTCGTGGTAGGAAATTTTTGTAAAATCGGAAAGGGCATACCTCAAAACATATTCAAAGACGTGTCCGTAGTCTGTGCATCGGTTAGTTATATAAGCAGTTGCTGAGAAAAAAATTAAAGAAGAAATGCAAATTTTATCAGGTTTTTAGGGTGGCTCGCAAACACGTTGGACCCTCAGTTTATTTGGAAAAAGTGCTTGTTTTGATCCCCTCTACCGCCAATTTTTTTTACATCCATACTTATATGTAACACCTTGTAGGTATTTAAAACCATTTTTATGGAGCCATCGAGCAAAGATGAGTTTAGAAATCTCCATTTTTTTGTTACAGCTTTGAATGTTACCTCGAGTTTTATTGCGCCATCTCGCTGCAGTCCGATACAGTAATTATTCGAACACAATGGCAAAAACTGACGGTTCTGGAAGACTTTTAGAGGATATCATCTTAAAATTAGGGAACTTCGCCCCACTAACTCTGGCCGAATCTTGGGATAACGTTGGTTTACTGGTCGATCCCATGGAATCCCAAAAGATAAAGCGCATCTTGCTAACAAACGATCTTACCGAAGATGTCGTAGAGGAAGCCATTAATCTCAATGCTGGGCTTATTATATCGTATCATCCAAACATATTCCAACCACTGAAGCGTGTTACCGCAACGTATGCATTGTACACAACACAAAATCCTGCTTTATTGTAGAATTGCAGGAGTTGGAAGGAAAGAATCATTGTGCAATGTATAAAACACAAAATAGCTGTGTATTCTCCTCATACTTCGTGGGATTCTGTTAGAGGCGGAGTTAATGATTGGCTGGCGCAGGCATTTGACGTTAATGAAAAAACACCAGTCAATCAGGACCCTGCCAATCCCGAATGCGGTTCTGGAAGACTTTGTTCCTTAAGTAAACCCATACCAGTAGAAGAATTAGTCGACGCTATCAAGTCGCATATTGGAATACCACATTTACGTTTGGCTCTGGGCAAACAAAAAACTCAAAGTAAGTATTTGTAACCTCTCTTACATAAATGATTTATTCGTTTTAGAGGATACAGTTTCGTCTGTCGCTCTATGTGCAGGATCCGGGAGTTCAGTTTTAAAAGGCGTGCGCGCTGATCTGTATTTAACGGGAGAAATGCTGCACCATGACGTGTTAGATGCTACGCAAAATGGTATACACGTCATTTTATGCAACCATAGTGACTCAGAGAGAGGATTTTTGAGACATTTCCAAAACATTTTGCATAAAACTTTGTTAAATGGAGACGTGGGGGTGTTTGTCTCACAAGTTGATCGAGACCCATTAGTTACAGTCTAATTTTATTGTAAGATAAATAAAGAGCGATGTACTTTCTTTAGTTTAAAGATGTATGTACTTTCTTTAGTTTAAAGATGTGTATCATTTTCCAAGATTACATCTTTCATCTGCTGATAATATCATTTTTTGAGGGTTTGATTACCCATACCTTAATTCTCATTGTATTTAGTCCACAACAACAAATATAAAAATGTACTATGTGGAGTAAATCGACGTGTTTTGTCTTTCATTTAAAGGAGAAAAGTGTCACTTTTCCTCTTTGAGGTGTAACGAGGTTGACTTAAAAAGGGTTGACTATCTTCTTAGGTTCGTGGTGTGGTTCCTAGTGAAAATTCTTGTAATATCAGAAGATTACTACTAAAATTCTAATTCCCAATAGTAATAAAACGTTCCAACGAGGAATCTACACGGACACTGTCGCACGCTACTGAATTAAAATCATTCTGCAGTCTACAAGGGCACATGCTTTTTCTAGGAATTCTCCTTTGACTCCTGCAACATTTACCGACACCGAACGGGAACGACGAGCCCCGCCAAGTTTCATCGAGCATTCCCGTTCCCACTGCTTGTGGCTTGCCGAGTCGCGCGCCTTACGCGCCAAGTCACGAGTAGTGGGAATCCGCCTTAACACACCTTTACATCTGAAACAAAATTACGATACGCTGTATATATGTATATAATACTTACGCGTGCTACGTTTTCGATTTAGACCTCTAACCCTTAAATTCCTTGCCTATGACTTGGAAACGTTTATTCTGTTTTTTATTTTGAACAACATCCCTACCATGGGATACACATTATCGTGGTGGTAGGGCATAATGAAACCAATCATAATACATTTTCTAATGTATTGACTGTTAAGTCCGGCCATTGACTAAGGGGGGTATTAGTCAATGGTCCGGCTTACCTCAAGGTTCTATATTAGGGCCACTGCTTTATACGTTGTACACAAGTCAGTTGCACAGTACTAAATAACTAAAGTCTTGCAGTTATCATCTATACGCTGACGACACACAATTATATAATTATATTACTCCTTACATGATACTTGTACAAAGATAAATGAGGATCTGAGTTTCCTCTATTCCCACTCCAAAGATCATAATTTACTGCTCAATCTTTAGAAATCTGTCGCGTTGGTATTTGGTGCAGGAGCATTACCTTCTGCTGAGAATGTAAAATTACGTATTGATAATATGTACCAATTAATGTAAAAAATGTCGCTAAAAATTTAGGATTGTGCGTAGATAGTGATTTTCGTTTTAGAGAACATGTAAGGAACTGTATACGCAAGGCCTATGAAAATTTGAAATGCCTGTATCCGCACCCAGCACCCCTGTCCGTTAAGACAAAAAAATGTTGTGCGACTCGTTAGTGTTGTCGCAATTTAATCATTGTGACATGGTCTATGGGCCATGTCTTGATGCCGCCTCTGACAAACGTATACAGTGTTCGCTTTATTTTTGGTCTTAGGCGGCGCAGTTATATCTTCCACAAATTGAGAGAATTAGCGTCGTTTAATAAGAATGTTACAAAGGCAGAAACTACATTCTTTATGTGTGTATCACTCTTTAATTTACCCTTAAAATTATTTAAATATCGTATGACATCTTTAATGTTAGGCGATTAACGTGCACAAAGCAAATAAGGCAATTACAGTAGCCATCAATGTTTATCGGGTAGGTAACACTGGCCGGATTATACATTTTGTCAGTTATGGCTTATTTCGCAGCAATTTTTAAGTTACGTGGTAGAGCGGAGAAGAGCATCGTATTTGTGAACTGCTGCCTCACCCAATAAAGCTATATTATTATAAGTATCCCAAGCAGGTAGGTACATACCTAATGCTCACAGTCCATGGCGTTTACTTATAAAAGTGACCGTGACTCGTCAAAGGTGATAAAAAAGAAAACTTTATCGACGCTAGTACTAAGGATAGGGGGGCCCTAGGGACTAACAACCCCCGCCCACTAGATTGGTGTCAGATTTTGAGGGGCTGTGAATCGCTTGATGTGTAAGAACCTGCATGAGAAGTCCTGAAGGATATGTGCGCGTATAGTTGCTTTGTAACAATGGAAATCTTACCTAAAAAAACGTTTAATACCATTTGTGCGTATCTCGTCGCGGGTCTCATCCCCAAAGATCATTTTTACTAGTATGCAAAAAACATTTTTTTTAAATTCAAAGGCACTCTTGATTTTTCGAAAGTAAGGGTGGAATTCAAAGATATAATTACTTAAGGTAGACTCACACTTCACTAATTGCAGCACACTTATTTTAGTTTAAGTTGAACTTATTGCTATGTCACTTCTTTGAATACCAAAATATTGCTAAGTAGGTACTTACAAATTAAGCAGGTAAATGAGTAAAGTTAAAGTGTAAGTCATTCTAAAGGAAGATGTGTGAATTCCACCTTAAAACTGTCAGAAATTAGTTTCCAGCCAAGTAGGGCTGGTCCCCAGAAGCTCAAAGTTCAATTCGAAAATTGTTTGTCTTTTACAAGAGACGACCAAACAATCGGGAGACACACTGTATATGTATCCCAATATAAAGTTTATACTTAGGTGCCCTTAAGGAGAACATGAATTTGAACAGTGACTCTTTATAGCGATGAACCCGTATCTTATAGGTACCTATGACAGAGTAAATTGTCGTAGGCGATAAGACGATAACACACTAAAATAAATTATCAAAGTTCCGCTTCCGTTACAGTTGATTTTTTGCTGGTACAGAAACGAAAAGTAAAGAAATTATAATTCTTATTAATTTGTTCGCTTCAATCGATTCGATGTAAAATTGTAAGTACATAAGTATTTAATTAATAGTTGATTTTGTACGTCCTAATCGTTGAACATTGCATTATGAACTACTTATATCTACTGGATCTTGGTGACTAGGAATATTAGATATTTTTAGGTTTGGACTGGTCGTGTTTGTTTCTGTTTTTGTTTGATATTTATTTTATTGTAGTTAATTTCTGAATTACCTACGATCACACATACGAAAGGTGTATACCTAATAAATGAAACTTTATTCAACATCATGGGGTTGTTGAGTGTTGACGGGTGGTGCTCAACGATGGCATGTCAGGACACTTGAGGTCCAGGGTAGGTAATTAATTTAAAATATCTCATATAATATGATGACGTTACCAT